TATATATATATATATATGTATATATATATATGTATACATATGTGCATATTCATAAATATATATACTGTAAGCCAAATAAAAAATAATAAAACGAAGAAAATGTTTATCTTTGTATGTCGTGCGTCTTATCTTTATTTTCTTCATATATTACCTAAAGTGATAAATAACACAACCTAATAATAAACATATTATATATATATAGAGAGAGAGAGAGGAGAGAGCAAATAAAGCAGAATAAGCAAAATAAAACAAACGAGAAATAATACTTTACCCCTCTATATCATACACCTCTTCGTCTGCATCTGCAAGACCTGAGTCTCCGCCGAAAGAATATAAATTTCTTCTTCTGTCTTGGCGCTTCAAAGTCTAAACACACAAATATACACCAATTGTCTTCCGGTGCGGTGTACGTACACCCCAAACCCTTCTTACTAACATATATATATATATATATATATATACATACATATACATATACATATACATATACATATACATATACATATACATATACATATACATATACATATACATATGCATATACATATACATATATGTATATATATATATATATATTACACTATAGTACATATATTATATATAAAGATAATATCTTTTATAATATATATATATATATATGCCGTGTCTATTAAATACTAAGACAAATAAAAGTATACAAAAGTAAGCCCAACAGCACCAATGCACTTAATAAAAGATAATTAAAAAAATACAAGAAGAAGCAAACCCCACATCAAACAAAGGCAGAAGAAAAACAAATAAAAAGTAAATACAGAGAAAATAAATTCAGAAAAACAAACAGAGAAAATTAGCAGCAAGACAACGAATGAAGAAACACCAAGCAAATCAAAACAACTCTAAATAACAAAAAGAGTAAAAGAAGAAGAAAAAGAAGAAAAAGAAGAAAAAGAAAAAGAAGCAAAAGAATAATAATAATTCAAGAAGAGCAAAGAAGAGGAGTTCGCATATATATTCTGCTTTTTTTTGAGGTGTATGCTGACCTCTGTCCTCAGAGTTAGTATTTCCTTGAACTCTTTTGTCACATCTAATAGACGCGTCTTCAGCACTTCTGTAACAGTTTTATAATGCTGCTTCGACTGAGCCCCCCCTCCTCCTGCATTTTCTGCTGCTCTTGCAAGAACATCCACTTTGCAGTTCAACGCGTTTATAGTCTGAAACGCAAATAAACCCTAAACCCTAAACCCTAAACCCTAAGCCGTGAAGAGTGAGTACAGACAAGACGAGAGAGATCGAACCATATAAACAACCGTAAACGCTAAACCCTAAACCCTAAACCCTAATTAGCTCGCCTTTCGTATATCAAAAGTCAGCTCTTGGATCTGCACTGTCTTGTCATTGTAAATGCCGCACTGCCTCGCCACTGAAATTCGCACACAAAGAGCAGAGCCTGAATGCATGAAATCTATCTTGAGCGATGAATAAATAATCACAGAAGACCTTCTACTGCCGTGATAGGGTCTAGGGTTTAGGGTTTAGGGTTTCCTTGGAGGTATGCTTTGCCCCCGGGCTGCTGCGCTATTGCGCCGTTCAGGTGTACGTACACTTGCCGAGTTCCTGAAGTTTCAGAGAAGTGGCGTGGAGGGCATTTCCCATTTCTGAGGCGAGTGCATTGAAGTGTCGATCTGCATCAGAGAAATGTCTTTGTGTATCATTCTGAGCTCCTCCCCCTGGTAGCTGAAAGCTTTCTGCTGCCGCTAAAAACTCCTCTGTTCGGTCGTACCCCATTTCCTTCTTTCAAACCAACGAAAATGCAGAAGTAAATGGAGAAGAAGAACTAAACAAGTGGAATAAGCAGCGGAAATGCAGACACCGCGTTCATGTTCGGCCCACGTAAGGCGAACGATGATGGGGGAGATAGCAGCAAAAGCAGATATATAACCCAAAAAATGATGCTCTAGAGGTATTCAATCACGCATAAACTCTACGCAGCGGCCTCAAAGGCTGCAAAACCGCGGAAATCTGCGGTTTCCGTGACAGAAGAAGGTCTTGAGTGATGGCGGCGGTCAGGCGAGAGCGATGCTAAAAAGAACATCCTCCTCGTCTATAAAAGGCAAAAGAGAAAGAAATTATGTGAAAGAGGCCCTTCTATATAATAAAACGCAGACTCATTGTTCTCTCTGCACGCTCCCCGTACCGCTGACGACTGTGCGGTTCCTGCGGTGTACAGACAGCCGGGTCGGCGGGAGAGTTGGCGCAACGATCATCACGTTTAATCGCTTATTATTCCTTACTTCGTACTCAATCTGTGGAATACAACAAAATAAAACCTTTCGTTTTCTTTTCCCCGCCTCGAAGCTAAAAAAGCGGCTGCATGCACTCTAACCCAGTCCCGTGTCGCGGAGCGGCTGTCGTTGGACGGGCGGAGGAACTTCTGCAGAATTTCAGTGGAATAAACCTGAAATATGGATTTCAAACTGCATTTTAGTCTCCAGTGTATGCCGACATCACGCAGAACCTGCGTATTCTGCTGCGAAGTTTCCCCTCTGCGCCCTCCTTTGCCCAGTACGCTCACCGCCTAAATGCCGTTTCTGCCTGCAGCAGCAGTTCCTCCTTTGCTGCAGACTGCAGTGTCTGTACGACCTCTCATTTTCCCGCGTCTACTGCGTAGCAAGGAGCTGCAGATTTTCGCCTCTGCCGCTTCTGCCTCCTTATGCCATACTGCTCTGCTGGGGGGGCAGCGGCTCAGTGGTAAGCAGACCCCTTAACACCGCCGATATACGCACAAGTGTGTTTGTGTGTGTGTTGTTATATGGCGCATGCATCTGCATTATGCATATGTGCATTCCTTCCTTCTGTTTTCCCTCTCTCGTCAGCGGAGAGAGAAGAATAGAAAGAAAGCCTGTTGAGTGCTTCCGTTTGTAGTTAGGTAGCCATTGCTTTGCTGTGCTATTACTTTTTGAACTTCTCTGCCGTTCGTTTCAGGCTGCCCTAGCCGCTGTGCAGTGAACAGCCGAGGGTTTGGGAGCTGCACAGACACCCCAACTGACAGCGCCACCGCAAGCGCAGCAGCAGAGACAAAATCAAATTCTAAGAAGACCATTCCTCCTAGTCTGGCGGAGAGGCTGCTGAATATTAGGCGACAAGGAACGCAGGGGATCTCGCAGACAGAGGCGCAGCAGCCTGCAGCCTCACCAGGTGTATCTACAGCTTCGAGTGTATCCGCAGCACCGGGTTTACCTCCAGCAGCTCCTCACCAAAGTGCAGCCTCAGGTGTATCTACAGCTTCTCCTGCGACAGCGGAGTATTCTCCGCATTCGCCACCACCTCCCCAGCAGCAGCAGCAACAGCAGCAGCAGCAACAGCAGCAGCAGCAACAGCAGCAGCAGCAACAGCAGCAGTCTTGCAAAGAAGAAAAGGAAGAGAAATGGTTGGGGGAAAATGGTGGGGGGGAGTTTGGTTTTAAGTACAAGGGGCCGGAGCCAACGCAGTTTGGCGATTGGGCGCACAAAGGCCGAGTGACAGACTTTTGAAGGTTTTCTTCTTCTTTATTCTTCAACTATTGAATAAGGCAAATCAAACCACCCTCCTCGCCTCCACTATTTCTCCTGCAGAAACAATATCGCTGTTCCACCAGCTGTACGTACACCCCAATATCGCTTCGCTACATACCCGGTTGAAGCCCTTCTTCTATTTTGGAGCTGTCCGCCATTATGCTGCCGTTTACGTCGCAGGGAGCGGAGAATGTCTGCAAATTTTTTACTCATTAGTGCGCCAGTTCACTCCCATCCGTCGACACGTTTGAGGGTTTAGGGTTTAGGGTTTAGGGTTTAGGGCTTAGGGTTTAGGGTTTAGGGTTTACCTTAGTTGGGAAGGGCCGTCTGGAAGGGTCGTGACGGACAGTGATGAAGCCTGATAGAGACAGCGTGCGAATTGAGTTTGCTGGGTGTGGGGTGTATGTACAGCTCGCCGACCATTCCGTTGGATGCCTCTGGGTGTGACATTTCATTTTATTTCTTTTCTCCTTTGAAGCAGCACGAGCAAGAAGACGACTTACTCTGTCACTCCATTGCAGTAGAAAGCGGACTGGGGAGACGAAGGAGATAATTGGAATTACGAGGGTTTAGGGTTAAGGGTTTAGGGTTTAGAGTCACCATAGAAGCGATCGAGGGGCCGGCGCCTCCTTGGTTCAAGTTGAGGGTGAACAGCTCCGCCCCGCTGTCTGTCCATCTGCAGTTTGCGTATAAGATTGAGATAGTAATAATGATAATTATTATTAAATAATAGTTTTTGTTTTTATAACGAAATTGTTTTGTATGTTTAAGTAAGAAAGACGCACAAAGAAATGGCTTCGTCTAGAGAAGAGACAATCCTCTCCTCCACCACATTTGAACAGAGCGCCTGCATAAAGAATAGTAATAGCCTCTATTAATTATCGTTTATACAACCAGCAGTAATAATATAGTATTGTTACGGGTATTAATCTAAATATACTTCGGCAAAAGAGCAAGATATAAAAGAATAGAGGAGGATAAGGCGCCCGGCCTGCCCACCTGTTTATTCATTTCGAATTTGAATGGAATTCGTTCAATGCTGGAGGGCTTAACGCCAATCGCCCATCTGCATATTCCTCACATAAGCTTAAGTATATATATGCATATATATATATATATATTTGTATATGTATTCATTTATATTATATGGTGTTGATAGGAGGGCGGGGAGATTTCGTACGCGCTGCTGGGGGACGCTCTTGTGAACCTGCGAAATAGCAAATTGATGAATATTTAAATGCTTTTCATTTAAATGCATGAAAAATCAATCGGCTGAATTATATAGGCAAAATGCCCTCCTTGACTGCACAGTCGACTGCATGCATGCATGCATGAATTTTGTTTTATATCCATAATCATAAAAGTAATATTAACGAGTCTTATTAATACTAATATTATTAATATCAATAGGAATAGTAGATAATAATATGAGAGAAGCAGACGAACCCCCTTGGGTCGGAGCATTTGAACATCTTTGATTCTTTTTGGTTGAACATGAAATACGCGCAAGAGGGGTCTTCTGCACAAGCCTGTTGTTTGCAAGAAGGAGGCAATTTTATATATATTTAAATCCAGCGAATTAATTTGCGTTTTGTCTATGATGATGCCTCCATGGCAGAGGGTGTTGAGGGGGTTTCGTCGATACGGAGAGCGGACGTACTTGTTCAGCTGTATTGAAGCTGGAAGAGATGCAGGCGATGGGGACAAATGTGAAAAATCAAATAAATTAATTCAAACTTATTAATAGAAACAAATTATTTGCACTTCACCTGATTATACCGTGAGATGCTCCTTCTATTATAACTGGCTTCGGGCAGTCGGCGAGCGCATCTGAACGGCACAGAGGGCATATTTCATTTTATAGCGTTTTTAAGAAGATTGAGAATAATATTCTTTGCCTTCTAAATGAAGAAAGTTAAATAAAGTAGAAGCTCGCAAAGAATGCCGATGGCGCATTCTGTGTGCCTCTGACTGGGAAATGCTTCATTGAAATCTTCTCAGTTTTCACTGTTCAGCAGTAGAACCGACCGAATTTGCGAGGAAAGCGGCTGTAAAAGCCACAAAAATCCGAGGCATTTATTCTTTGAATCCAAACAAAACAAATGCTGAAAAAGATCCGGAAGAAAGCTCCTTTATTCTCCCTCTAATTCTCTAAAATAGCAACGAAATTCATGAATGCGACGAAGCTGCATATACACCCCAACTATGCATTTCAATAAATGCACTGTTGGCTCCATTACAACGAAACAGCAAAAGAATATCTCTTTACTTTTAAATAATTTCTTGACCTTTTTGCACTATTTTCTCTTTCTTTTCGTGGCAAAGCCCGAAAAGATTCTTCAGAAACTTCACATTTTTGATGCAAGAATTGTTGACTTTCGCGCTTTCTTCACGCAGCTTTTAATCATTCAAGAATAAGGCAAAACAAACGACTGCGTTCAGTTCTCAATTCAAACGATTTATTTCTTCTCTTTCATTGCCTCCTTTAAAGCAAACACTAGTAGAGATGAGGACGGTAATAATAACAATCATATTATTGTATCGTCGCCCAACAAGAACCGCATTTTTCATAAAGGGTTCAATTGAAGACAGCCTCCCTTCCATTCTGTATTAATGCAGTTCCAAAAGAAGCAGCACAAAGGCCTGTTATTGTTGTGAGAAGAGAAGAACTGCCTATCTTCTTTCTTGCAGCAACTGTTGCTGTAATTTCTGTCTAAGAGGTAAAACCACCCCCACAAAGCAAACATTATTAATAGGCAACAGGCAGCCCCCACTTCCATGCATGCACCAGCACCCTTGACAGGTGTTGTTGAATTCTTTTGAGGCTTTCAGCAGCGATTCTGTTTATATATGTGCAATCTATATTATATATACATCCTGTCATTGCAATTCTAGCGAATTTAGAAGTTAGAGAAGTAAATTGGGATTTCACATTTGCGTTAATTGCATCTAGGCTTTGTAGACCGCAAACTAAACCCTAAACCCTAAACCCTAAACCCTCCTAGCAGAACAACGGTGGCAGTTAACTCGATCTGCCCGAAGGACAGACAGCCGCCTCGCCTTTAACCCTAAACCCTAATTGAATTGATAAACTAAAACCCTAAGATGAAATTCATTTAGTATAAATATATTATTAATGCAAATTTATTTTCATTGTTGCTGAGTCTCTCACACACTCAACATCGAAACCAGAAAACAACTCACGAGGGCTCGCTGCATGCATGCAGGCGCGGCGGCGGCAATGGGTTTGTTTGGAAGATGAATGATAAATAGAATAAAAGAATTATAATTAAATTGAATATTGAAATTATATTTTAAACGAATATTTTTTTTCTTTTTCTCTTATCTCCAAGAACTCGCGAAAATCTGCGCGCGGTGGCAGTGCGGCTGTCGGCATCTTGCGGTGTATATTTTGCTTTTTTCCCCCTGTTTTTTTGTTTCTAATTCAATTTATATTATTTTTAATCATTTAAATCCAATTAAATATCTTTTCATGAACAAATTTATATAAATATTTACCCCAACGGGGGTGGGTGGTTATCTAGGAGGATGCACGCAACCGCAACACCATTTAATAGCAGCTTAGCTGCATCTTCTCTGCAGCCCCTGTCTTTAAGGCGTCTTTATGCAGCAATTTCTGCTCTCTCCTTTTCATCTTCTGCTGCTTCTCTACAGCACCACCAACACCATCTCCCTTCCATTCACTTTGAGGGACAGCAACGCTCATCTGGGGGCCCCCACCAAGGGGGCCCCCCCCAGATGGGGCCCCACCCTGGGGGGCCCCCCCAGAGGGGCCCCCACCCTGGGGTCCCCCCCGTGAGGGACCCCAACCATGGGGGCCCCCAGAAGAGGGTACTCCACCAAAGGAGCCCGTATCGGGGGGGCCCCCATCAGAGGGGCCCCCCTCAGAGGGGCCCCCAAACAGTGGGTGTATGGGGGGGGTTGAATGAGTTTGCTTCATGGTGTCTGCTAGAGCAGAGAAGATGCATGCAGGAGCATCCGCATATAAGAGATGCGGTGCTGCTACCTCCGGAATCTGAGAGGAATTGGAGGCCCCTACCGCTCCAGGGGGCCCCTAAATTTACACCTCGTTTAAATAATTTGCAGCAAAACTTCTTCGAGCTCGATCCTGATAACCCTAGTAAACTGCTGCAGTACTTTGCTGGCCTCTTAAAAGAAGGAAATTTAGAACCAAGTAATGCGCAAAAAAAACTCATCAACGAACTCCAGGTACACCCCAATCCAGGGTTTAGGGTTTAGGGTTTAGGGTTTAGGGTTTTCGGGGGGTTTGATATTCAACGGTGGGCATCTTCGCTCTCGTAAACCCCAAACCCTAAACCCCAAACCAAGGGTTTGGTGTTACAGGGTAGGGTTTGAACTGGAGGGTTGGGGGAAAAGGGTTTAGGGTTTGAAGTCGAGGGTTTAGGGTTTAGGGTTTAGGGTCTGAGTCGGATGCCTTCAGGGTTTGCTGGATGCAATCGAGGCGGAGGAAATCACCAAGCCAAATGCATTCAATTCAAATGATGCTCCTTATACCTCCAACTCCCCACAACAGGCACGCCTCCTAAACCCTAAACCCTAAACCCTAAACCCTAACCCAAGACGAGCTTCTAGGGGTTGGGCGAGGCGCTAGTGCAAGCAGTTTTTCTCATCTGAACCTAGGAAAGCCCTGAATTCAGGATTTACGGTTTAGGGTTTAGGGTTTAGGGTTTGGGGTTTGCAGGGATCCGGTTCGTTGTCTTCTCTTTGGAGCCGTTTGTTTTCGCGCGCGAAGCCGGGTGACTACCCCTTATTTTAATCTTTATTTATTTTGTTTATTTTATTATTTATTTATTTATTGATTCAATAGCATTTAAAGCAAGTCTACTCTCTCTGCTTACGGGCGCTTGATGCACAAACCTTAGTTTGTTTCTGTTTGCTTTCTCTTCATTTGTATTCGTTTACATATATTGACAGATGTATATCTGTATGTAAAATAAATATATCTTTATTTAAGTATATATATATATAAATGTATATACTTGCGTATATTTGTATATAAACAACCACCCAAGTGAATGTATCTACGCTGCGGCATATATATACATATTTATATTATAATGCATTTATATATTTATATTTATATTTATATATATTATATATATATATATATATATTTGATATGAGAGGATATGCGTTGGTTAATAAAAATAAAATAAATTCATAGAATTATGCAGAAGCCCTCAGCTTTTTTAATGCTGATTTTTCTCTCCTTCCTTATTTTATCGATTTAATTAATTAATTTATTTAATATTAATTTATTTAGTATCTTTATTTGCGTTGAGTTATGCTGCGCTTATATACAGCAGAGACTACAACCCCGACCGGAGCTGCCTATACACCTGAAGCTCCCCCTCCTAAAATAAAGGGTTTATATATCTGGGGCGGTGTAGGGCAAGGAAAGACAATGATATTAGATGCATTCTTTAACTGTCTCTCTATCAAAGACAAACAAAGATCTCACTTTCATCAATTCATGCTCGAAGTCCACCAAGTAACGCATTAGGGTTTAGGGTTTAGGGTTTAGGGTTTATGGTGTGGGCGGGGTTTAGGGTTTACGGCGTGAGGGGTTGGTGGCGTTTGAGCTGTTTAGAGTTTAAGGTGTAGGATGTGAGGAGTTTCAGGATTAGGGTTTAGGGTTTAGGGTTTATGGTTTACTGTGTAAGGGGTTTATTAAGGTTTAGGGTTAGGGTTTCAGCATTGGGCCGTTTGAGCTTCGGGTTTCGGGTTGTTTAGGGCTTAGGGTTTAGGGTTTAGGGTTTACTAAACCCTAACTGGTGGTTTGTTGTCTACAGGAGTTACATCGAGTGAAGCAGCAACAACCCCCAGTCGGCGACCCTCTGATGGAAGTTGCGAGAAAAATAAGATCTACTGCTAAAGTCCTTTGCTTCGATGAGTTTCAGGTCAGACAAACCCTAACTAGGGTTTAGGGTTTAGGGTTTAGGGTTTTGGGTTTTAGGGGGAGAATTTAGGGTTTAGGGTTTAGGGCGCAGGGAGCAGCGCCAGAGGCGATCTCGGGGGCTCACCCACGACTCCTAGGCTTCAGGGTTTGATGTTTAGGGTTTAGGGTTTAGGGTTTAGGGTTTAGGGTTTTTGTGGGAAGGAGTGATCTGCAGGTTGTGCACATCACAGACGCCATGATAATGAAGCGCCTCTTTGAGGGTTTATTTTCGGTACGTTTAGGGTTTAGGGTTTAGGGTTTAGGGTTTAGGGTTTGTATAGAACTAAGTGCTAATAGGGCTGAAGGTCTTGGGCGCGCCTTCTCCTCCCTAAACCCTAAACCCTAAACCCTAAACCCTTGAGGTTGAGGGTTTGCGTGCAGCTGGGCGTTGTTGTTGTAGCAACCTCCAACAGACCGCCTGATGATTTATATTTAGGGGGTTTAAATAGAGAGAGATTTATTTCTTTTATTCCTCTCTTAAAAACTTTCTGCAATATCCATCACATCGAAACTCAGAAAGATTACAGGTATACGTAAACCCTAAACCCTAAACCCTAAACCCTCAAACCTTCGCAAGCCCTCATAAACCCTAACCCCTCATAAACCCTAGCCCCTCATAAACTCTAGCCAATCATAAACCCTAAACCCTCGTAAACCGTAGCCTCCCATAAACCCTTGCCCTCTATAAACCCTAACCCGTTATAAACCCTGATAAACCCTAACGGGTCATAAACCCTAAACCCTTGCGTTTGCGTTTAGACTAGCGAAAGGAGCGAAGAGCAGCGGGAGCCTATTCTTCGTACCTTCACGAGCAAAAGAAATTATATTTAAACAAATTGAAGAAGCAGCAGGAGGCTCTTTAGAGAGCGGAAGCATCCCTCTAGCTGCTAACAGAACCCTTCGCGTAAACCCTAAACCCTAAACCCTAAACCCTAATTAACCCTAGTTATACAACCTAATCAATCTACTTGTAAACCCTAATCATCCTACTTATAAACCCTAATAAACCCATTTATAAACCCTAATAAACCTAGTTATAAATCCTAATAGGCCTATTCGTAAACCCTAGTAAACCCTAGTAAGCCCTAGTAAACCCTAGTAAACCCTATCAACCCTAGTAAACCCTAATCAACCCTAAGCCTTTGTAGGAGTCTTTTTTATCTCCGCCTTAAATCGGAGATATTTTTGCTGCTTTTTATGCTTATCTCTTTTTTATTTCTTTTGTTCTTTTTTGTTTTTTCTGTTTGCATGCATGGGGTGTATGCACGCGTTTAAATACATTGGTGATCAAAATTGTATTTTTGTTTTAATTAAAATATATATTTGTCTATTTATTTTAAAGAATATAAAACAAATAAAACAAAACATATATACATATATGAATATTGCTTATAAAACATATATATATATATATATATATGTAAAGACCAAATGAGACAATACATGTTTATATATATATAGATATATTATTTGTAAGAGAAATAAAACAGTATATATATTTATATTTATTTATTTTTATTTGTTTTTTTTTCTTTTGTCTGCAGGTACCGGGCATGCGTAAGGGTTATGCAGTCTTTACTTTTGATGATTTGTGCGGAGACAATGTTGGTGCTGTCGACTATTTATATATTTCTTCTGTTCTGCATTCTTTATCTATTCGAAATATCCCTGACTTACATCGAATGGAAGAACACCCAAATGAAATACGAAGATTTATTAGTCTTATTGATGTGCTGTATGAACGGTGAGTGTACACCCCAAAACCCTCACAAACCATCATCCATCTAGGGTTTAGGGTTTAGGGTTTAGGGTTTAGGGTTTGTTGATGGGTACTATCATATAGGGTGTTATTTCTGCTTGGCGTGTGGTGATGTGCCTGAACTACTACTACTCCATGATGAAGCCTTTTAAGGTTTAGGGTTTATTTAGGGTTTAGGGTTTAGGGTTTAGGGTTTGTGTTGTTTGTATAGAAACGTGCGGGTGATCTTTGATGCTGAAGCCCCTCTCTTTCGTCTTTTAGGAATTCCTTCAGCTGTTCAATTAGTCGAAAACATGCGAAAAAAAATACAACAAAAATTCTGCAGTCTGAAGGAAGCCCTTGAGCAATTAAAACCGGTTAGATAGAGTTTATTTATTTATTTATTTATTTATTTATTTATTTATTTATTCATTTGCTTGTGTTTGTTCATTTGTTTGTTTTTCTGTTTATATATTTAGTTCTTTGTTTACTCGTTTGTTTGTTTATTTTGTTTTTTTGTGTATCTAATTTATTTATTTTGTTTATTCGTTTATTTGTTTGCTTGCATATTTGTTTATTTGTTTTGCCGTTTACCTACTAATTTATTTAGGTGTTCAATTGTTTATTTACTTATTTGTTTGTTTGTTTATCTTTCTGTTTGTTTCTTTGTGTTTATTGCGGTGATAGTTTTTTCTGTCGGTCGGTTTAATTAAAAATTAAAAAATTTTGAATTTGTGTTTGCAAACACAACAACGGTGCATGCACATAGATGAACTGCGTTTAATTAATTAGTTAATTACTCAACTGACTTAATTAATTAATTAATTAAATTAATTAATTAATTAATTAACTATTTTTGTGTTTTGTTTGCAGTACTGCACAGAGGAAGGAGTTTTTTCGCGAAGTGGATGGGTGGCGGGGACAGCGTCTGTCTTGGGGCTTTCTCCTGAGTGCGTGCATGCATGCATGCATGCATGCATGCATGCATGCAGAGGAGGTTTTGTTTCTTTACGTCTTTGTTTTCTTTTTTTTGTTTCGGTTGCGCCAGTTGAGGATATTGATGTAGAGGAAGTGCAGCAGCAAATGAAGAGAATAATATAATAATATATTAATTTGAATAATTTGTTTTTGCTTTCTTTTTCTCTTTGTTTGGGTGAGCAGAGATGCAGATGAATTATATAATTTAATTACAAGCAAAGGAACTTCTCCTCTAAACGCAGCTCGCCTCCGGTATACACTCCAAATATATATATATATATATATATTTTATTGTTTCTGTTTGAATGTTATCTTCAAGATGTACCTGAAAACAATTATGTTATATTCGATAGAACATGCATATATATATTATTATAATATAGAAGTATCTGCTATACAAAGCAATATAATATCCTTCTTGTATACATGCTTATATCGTTTAGTATATATGTGTAAATTTCGATAAAATATGTATTATATTTATTATACATCTATATTATATATATGTATATATTATATTATACATATATATGTATATATATCTGCAGCGGCGTAGGATGTTGCCTCTACCGACTGTTTGTATATGCTACTTGTATTTAATTTTTGTTTTTCTGTTTTATTTCTGTTTATGTGTTTGTATTTGTTTGTCTTTGTTTGTCTTTCTTTTTCTTCTTCTTTTGTTTAGGTCTCTGTTGTTTTTTCATATGAGTGCCTTCGATTTCTCTCCACCAACAACCGCTGATGTATTTCTTTTTTCTTCGGAAGCGGAGGGGAAAGAAGTCTTAAATAACCCGGCCGTATACGAATTGAATAAGTATGAAACCCTAAACCCTAAACCCTAAACCCTAAGCTGCATTTGCAGCTGCACCCATGCATGCATGCATGCATTTATGCAGACGGTGACTGGTGAAACTGTTGAAATGAGGGAAATTTGTTTTTATTCGCATTGCATTCATGGCTATATATATGTATATATATATTATGTATTTATTATTTAAGTGTATATTTTTTATTGTTAGATTTCATTTGCAATATTCTGATATATACCATAGTGCTGGTCGTCCTTGTTTCTTTCTTTTTTGATGTTTAAGAGGCGTTGCTTTGATTCATTTTCTGTTTCGTTTCTTTTCTTTTTTTCAGCGAACATCATGAATCATCTGGAGCCCAAGATAATCAATTTGCTTTCATTCGAACGATTTCGCGGTGCGTTCATCTGAGGTGTCTGTACACCCGAGCGAAATTTCAATATTTTGTGTGTGTTGACTGCGTTCATTTCTTTTATTGCTTGAAAATTAGGAATTAATGCAGCTTTGTTTCTGAATGAATTGTTTATTATTATTTATTCTTTTCGCTTTTGTTTCTTCTTCTTTTCTTTTCATGCAGAATCAGAGATATGACGTCTCTTCCCTATTTGCTACAACATCAGAAACTTCATAAGTTGAACGACTTGGCGGTGTTTACTGCCGATGCAAAACGCGGAAATTGAAACATGAAAAGAATATTTATGATTTTATTTATTCTTTTTAAAAATAAATAAATATTCAGTACAATAAAACAGAAATAAATTCTTTAATGCATTCAGTACACTTTTTTTTTCTGAATTTTCCTTCCTCTTCTCTTCGTTGGCGCTTCGCTTCCTAAAAAGGACAATAAGAAGAAAGACATCTCAGTGAGTGTTTTTACTGTCAATTCAAATTCTTTTCTTTCTTCCGTTTTTCTCCTTTTTCTCAACTGTAAAGGACTTCTTTGGCCCTGTTCATGAACAGCGCCAAAGAAATGCGTTTGGGAGGTATATATATATATATATATATATACATATATATGTATATATATAGATATATGTATATATATGCATATATATATTATCTATATGCCTTAACAAAAGGGAAAACAGATATTTGAATCAACAGCAGCAACACATGTTGAGCTGTTGCTGTTCTTCTTTTTGTTGTTTTCTTATTATTAACTTTCTTCCGTCAATTCCTTGGCCTTTCGCCTTTCGTATTCTCTTCAACACGGCAAATATAGAACATACATCTATAAATAAATAAATAAATATACATATATATTAGATACATTCTAATATATAATATATATATATATATAACGTAACCCTAAAAACGTTTGCTTGTAGGGCTAGAATACAGGTAAATATATTTTTAAAAAGCAGAAGATAAGACGAAAATACATTTTTATAAAGAAGAAGATAGCGGAAGAAGATAGCGCAGACGCCGATGTGTGGTTGTTTGCTCTAATACTTCTTATTGATGGTGCAGAGAGAGACGACGCTATTAATTAATTGTTTCTTTTCTCTGTTCATACTGAATTAAATAATATAAATATAAAAACAAGTTATTAAAGAGACGACGCAAAGGCAAACATTTAAAGGAAAAAGAATGCGTTGCTGAACGATAAAACGAGTCGCACAATTTATATAAGTAAATATACAATATATAATATATACTATGTAATATATATTACACATTGTAAAGGATATACATATACATATATATATATATATTTCCTATAATACGCATAGCACATATTATATGAGATATGCATATCATAATATATAATGCATATTATATATTATATAATATGCGTAAATTATATATATAATAATATTATATATATAATATACATTATATACTTTATATAATGCCGATTGTATAATATATATATTATATTATATATATATATATTATAAACAGCATATGCTAATCATCATCGTCATCATCATCATTATCATCGTCTTCATCTTCATCTTCATCTTCTTCTTCTCTGTGTTTATTTCTTTTTCTTCTTCTTCTTCCGAACGTCTCTTCTTCTTCATCGTCCTCATCATCATCATCATCATCTTCTTCTTCTTCCAAGTGTTTGTCTGTTTCTTCTTTAGCCTGATTATCTTTATCTTTATCTTTATCTTTATCTTTATCTTTATCTTTATCTTTATTTTCTTCATCTCTCCACTCAGCAGATCGCCAGTCAATCCAAACATCGTCAATTACTTCTTTTGCTGCATTTACCCGCCTAACTTCAGCGGGGTTTACATCCGAGATAAAACCCTATAAATAAATAAATAAATATATATATATATATAATTCAGCTAATATATATATATATACATATATATATTATATAGGTATAGATGCATTTATTAATAATATCTTCGTGTGCATTTAATAGAACAAATATCATCTAAAGAATTCAAACAAATATATAAATTGAAGAACTGTTGCACTCAGCCAGAAAAACAAACAAACGCAGATGCAGATATATACAATGAGCAGGGAGTGCACATATAAATGTATATTATATATATATCTGTATATATATATATATATTTATATGCATCACTACTATGTATATGTAGATGTAAATAGAAAAATATATGTATATATATATACAAAGAGAGACAGAGATACGCAAATATGCATGTACACGCGTGTATATATGTGTATTTATTTATTTATTTATGTATATGTATATATATATATATATATTGTTACACATACACAAGAATTTACAATTCTGTGCATATGAAAGTAAATATGAAGAAGACGATGAATACTACATGTATAAATAAAATAAACATAATAACGCTTAATGTATACATAATAATATATATAAGTATATATATAAGTATATATATATATATTTATTTATTTATACATACTTGCTGTATCCAAGTTTGAAGTGTATGTACAGTGTACGGCCCGTAGATATTTTTATCGTTTGCATTATTACTCCAGCGCATTTGTAAATAAAAGTTTTCTTCTTTTTGCTTGTCTTCATTGTTTCCTGAGTATTTAAAGCAATTAAAACTAATAATAACAATAATAACAATAATAATAACAATAACAATAATAATAATAAAATTAATAATAATAATAATAATAAATGAACAAAAAAAGAAGAAAATTAATTTAAATGTAAATGCGAGCAGTAGATTCTTCTTCTATAAAAACATCTTTAAAGATGCATAACGCATTATTTGCAGTATATATATATATTATATATATACATATATATATTATATACATATATAATATAATATATATATACATATCTATAAATACATATTATATTTTATATATATAAAGTAAATATGTGTATATGTATGCATGTGTAACTTTTATGATGCGTATATTATATAAGGGTAGATGTAAGTAAAAAATAAACAAAATTAAAAATAAACAAATATAAATATAAATATAAATATAAATATAAATATAAATATAAATATAAATATAAATATAAATATAAGTTTAAAAATGAATAAGCACCTTCAGCAGACGCTGCTTCGTTCTCTGAATTTTTTGTTTGTTTTTCTTTGATTAACATTTCTTCAATTTGTCCTCTTGCAGAAAAATAAACATCTGCAGCAAACCCCACAACATCTCAGGTGTACAGACACTGCACCCAGCAGCAGCAGCAGCAGCAGCAGCAGCAGAACAGCCAATGCAGCAGCAGCAGCAGCAGCAGCAGCAGCAGCACCTTTAACAGCAATGCCAGGAGCAGCAGCAGCAGATGTAGCAGCAGCAACCCCAGCAGCAGCAGCAGCAAATGTAGCAGCAGCAGCAGCAGCAGGATATATATTTACTTCTCCCTGTAGCAAGGAGAGCAGTGCAGACATCTGTGATAACATCAAAGGCTTTACGAGAGTCATCCAATCGTTCTTGCTTCTCTGCTGCTGCAGCTGCTGCAGCAGCATCTGTCTCAGCAGCAGCAGCAGCTGCTGCTGCTGCTGCAGCTGCTGCTTCGGCTTCCTCTCTATCTGCTGCTGCAGCGAGAGCCGGAAGCACTCTCATCTTCTTAATTTTACGTGAGCTTTTGTTTGGCTTTGCTGCAGCAGCAGCAGCAGCAGCAGCAGGAGCAGCAGCATTTGCTGCTGAGGCGCGGCTGCTTCCTGCAAGGCGAGCGAGAGCGGCAGCAGGAGTTTCGTTCTGCTGCAGCAAACCGATTAGGGTTTGATAGCATGCAACAACATCCACAGATACCTCTTCTGCTGCTGCTGCTGCACTCTCTTGCTGCTTCGCTGGGGCCCTTAGAGGAATCGAGCCCTATGCATGCATAAAACACCCACACCTAGGGTTTAGGGTTTAGGGTTTAGTTAGGGTTTAGGGTGTTTTGCAGCTGACGGGTAAGGGTTTTGTGCTTACAGCTGAGGGTTTAGGGTTTAGGGTTTGCCGAGGGTTTAAGAGGGAGCGAAAAAAGCGCAGAAGAAGATAAAGGGATGATCTGCATTATGGTTTAGGGTTTAGGGTTTAGGGTTTATAACTGATCTTTACTTTGATGCCTTCTTGATCAAGAGAGTTTAGCCAGGGGTCTTCAACTCTTTCATTTGTTCGTCTGCGAAGTAAATAATTACCTTCTTCATCAAACACTCCTTCTTGCATTTCTTGACGCATATTAAAAGGCTCTAAAGGTACGTCGCCAGCGTCCGCCTTCATTCATAAACCCTAAACCCTAAACCCTAAACCCTAAACCCTAAACCCTAAAACATAAACCCTGAACCCTAAAGACGAAACAGGAAGGAAATTGAGGTGATAGAACTCTGTTGGTCCAAGGGAACAGCAATTCGAACTACGCCAAACCCTAAACCCTAAACCCTAAACCCTAAACCCTAAACCCTAAACCCTTAGGAGCGTCATGCAGAAGGCTCTCTTTTAAATAGATAAATAAACAAGAATAAAACAGAGAGAGACGAGAAGCCAGAAAGAGAGAAAGAAGAGAAAGAGACAGAGATATAGATAAAGATGCAGACAGAGATAAATTAAGAGACAGACAAAAACAGATAAAGACAGATAGACAAAGAAAGCAAGAAAAATAAAGAGACGAAGAAAGAAAAGAAATAAAGAAATAAAGAAAGAGATAAAAACAAACAAAGACAGGAACACAAAGAAAGATATATATATATATATATATATATATATATAGATAGATAAAG